CCTCCAGTTGCAGTTTGATGGTGCCCAGTTCAGTTATATCCACAATGATGGCTTGAGGCCGGGTTGTGAAGAAGTCGATGCCGTCACATGTCACCATGCCAACCAACAGGGTGCTAAGTCCCCGCAGTTCTGTGACCTGGACAACAAAAACAACAAAGGATACCGTGCTATCAGTCTAGGGTAGCTATATGCATACCAACCTCTGAGTATGGAAACTGGTACATGAACATGTCGTCTACAGCACAGTAGCGAAGTCTTCTACCCAAGACATTTCAATTCTCATGCATCTCCCAGAGCACATGTGCACCGATCCTATCATAAATGGATAAATGTGTGGTGTAACAGCCCAAAATAAAAGCATCTCAACTTTCAGCAGAACAGAATGGTTGAATTCCAGGCAAACCCTACCTGTTCACTGCATACCAGAAGGCTGTACCCACAGTGGCCTCGTTGGCACATAATGGTAAGCCATAGTGTGAACCAGTGATGGCTCTCCAGAAGATGTTGGACTACAACTCCCATCAGCCCCAGCCTCCATGGCCAATGGTCATGGATTATGAGAGTTGTGGTCCAGCGACCTTTGGAAGGGAAGGTCCATAACTCAGTGGCATAGCATGCAGGTTCAATCCCAGCATCTCCAGGTAGAATTGGGAGAGAACTCAATTGGCAATCCTGGAGAGCAGCCATCAGTCAATGTAAACAACACTGAGCTAAATCAATGAATCGATGGATAAGGCAGCTTCTTCTGTTTCTAAGGCAACGAGTTCTCCATCTCTAGTCTGAACAAACTATGGTTTACTGTGAACTTGAGCACAGCTCAAGTAGCACCTGCCCCACTCCTGCCTGTGTTGAACCAGAAGGAGACACCAAACAGAGAACAAGCTCAGCAGTATGCATGAATCAGCGCTCATGGTTTGTTTCTCCCCAGACAAACATGAGACGAAGCCAATACCAAGCCAGCCCTTGGGTTTCATTTCCATCCGGCAAAACAAATCAAGACACATGCAAATTCATCCTTGTGCAGCAACACGCTTCCCATTCACAGCAATCATACATTGCCATTAAGTGAGAAAAACAGATTCAGAACAGTTGGAGATTACACAGGATTTATCTGTGCTACAGATTTCAAGCAAGTCACTTCCTCTCCCCAGGAGCCCCAAGGAACTGTAGTCCCCTTAAGGGTGTAAGAGACTTCTAATGGATCTTATCACTTTCATCAAGGTAGAATATTCAGATTTCAGAATCTGAATATCCAGGAGAGATAAACTGATACAGAAGTTTGTAGTGCAAACTGTTCACGGCTGTATCCCCATACAGCCCGCTGCCCTGGTACAAGGCATACACAACAAACAGTGCTGTGTTTTTATTACAAGGTTCAACACTCAGAGAGACTTCTCGGGTACTTGGATGGTGCGATGAGTTCTTAATGTGCTTGGAATATGCTGTTCTCCTTCCTTTTAACATGAGCGCCCAGTGCTGCATTGTGCAAGCAGGAGAACTGCCAGGTATCTCTGGGTGAGACATCAAGACACCCTTCGTAGAAGCACCAAGATCAAGGGTTATGGGATATAATTATGAGTTTGCGCTGTTCCAGACAGACCAAAGCATCATAAGAACTTCCTGCTTAGATTATGGCAAAGCCACATTTATTTCTACTGGATGAGACCCGATGGAGGTGGGGGAAGAAGGGCAGCATTGGAAAAGAAAGGATAAGAGACCCCTATTCTTGCAGAAACACAACAGGATGGGGTAGAAGAAGCACACTTGCTTTTCTCATGCTGCCAAAATACTAGCCCAGGGCCTGAGGGAAGACAGGTCAGGGTAATTGCAATAGCCCAGGGCACAGAGCAAGGCAGACAGGGTAGTTGCATTAGCAGTAGGCATAGTAATAAAACCACAATCACGGAACGCTGAATCATAGAACAACGCAAAGAAGCATTTCAGTCAGGTGCATGAGGTTACTTTGTGCTTGCCCCTCACTGGGTCAACAAGATGACAGCAGAAGTGCAACCTAACCAACCTCAATAATTCTCTCTCATGGGCTCATTTCTACACGCCTTAGGTCTGAGCTATCTGTATTCCCTCCATGTGTTGTTGAGTTTCAATTCCGATCATCCCCAGCCTGCATGGCCAATGGTCAGGGATGATGAAACTGTACTTCAGCAACAAATGGAGGGCACCATATTGGCTGCTCTTCATATAATTCTAGAATTGTAAAGCTGGAAGGGACCACGAAGGGTCATCTGGCCCAACCCCTTGCAATGCAGGAATCTCAACTAAAGCATCCATGACAGATGGCCATCTAACCTCTGCTTGGAAACTTCCAATGTAGGAGAGTCCAGCACCTTCCCAGGGTGTCCGTTCCACTGATGCAAGCTAACATCTGACCTGATGATCTTTTTAAAGAACTGATGAGAAAGCACATATGAACAGGGCCTTGCAGAGCCAGGCAGAGGCCCAGGCCAGGTAGATAATGTGCCTCCCCTTTTTTCTTACCCTGGGGATAACTGAAGTCTCAAAAATAAGTAAGTATATAAATAATAAGTATATAAATCTATTTTTAAGTAGACAAATTTAACTATTAATTAAAATTAAATTATAATTATAATTAAAACTTCTCCATCTTCTTAGGTAAAGGTAAAGGGACCCCTAACCATTGGGTCCAGTCGTGGCCGACTCTGGGGTTGCAGCGCTCATCTCGCTTTATTGGCCGAGGGAGCCGGCATACAGATTCCGGGTCATGTGGCCAGCATGACTAAGCCGCTTCTGGCGAACCAGAGCAGTGCATGGAAACGACGTTTACCTTCCTGCTGGAGTGGTACCTATTTATCTACTTGCACTTAGAGGTGCTTTCGAACTGCTAGGTTGGCAGCAGCAGGGACCGAGCAACGGGAGCTCACCCCGTCACAGGATTCGAACCACGACCTTCTGATCGTCAAGTCCTAGGCTCTGTGGTTTAACCCACAGCGCCACCCGCGTCCCTTCTCTGTCTTCTTATTCTACTCTTTAAAAAGATGTATGCTTGTGAGCCACTATTTCTATAAAAAACATGGTTTATCCTCATTGAGCTATATGTAAGTAATATTCCTGGCCTAGTCAACAAAATTTTAAACAAATGGCCACATCTTCATCCATTTTTCATCATTTTCAAAAAAAAAAATAGCGATAAGAAAGCCAGCACACTTATCTTTAAGGTACGCGTGGTTTTAATTTTTGGCAAACAAGATTTCAAACAAAAACTCACCAACTTTTAACAGCATGAAAAACATGGTCCACCATCACGTTCGCGGCACGCTGGCTGCTGGAGCCCTGGTTGCCTCCACCCACCCGGTGCCTCCACCCACCCGGTGCCTGTTCCACACTCCTCTGCCGATAGCAGGACCCGCCCTGGATGCCGGGGAAGCTTTTCTCTTGCGCTGCCAGCCATGGCCCCAGGGAATCCGCCCACCACCGCCACGGCTTTTGCGCCTCCGCGTTCACCCCAGTGAATCCCCTGCGATTGTGAATATGCTGACCGAGGCCACCTTTGGAATCGGAGGCCCAGGCCAAGTGGCCCATATGGCCCCCCTCTGTCTGGGCCTGCGTATGAATGCACCCCAACATGGTTAAAACGTTATGGGCTAAAGAAAGCAAGAAAATCTTAAAATGTGTGGGACTGAGCTCTGCCAACGACACAAAAGCCAAGTCTATCGCTTCTTCATTGAATCTGGAGATGACTCATCTTCACTGGCAAAGTGCAAGACTCGCATGTTTTCTCACAGTGTTTGCACAGTGCATCTCAATTAACCTCTCAACACGGAGTGAGCGGGGTGGGGGGGTAGCGAATAAAGGAACATTTTAAACACATTTCCAAAAGCTCTGCTGGAGAGGGATCAGGAATTCCTCTCAATAAGACTCTACCCATCTCCAGCATTCTCACTGCCAGCAAACAAGGAGTGTTGCAACAGTTCAGAGAGTTTGAAAGCTCCAAGTGGACTGTCATTTCAGAGAACAGCGCATTTCAGGAAGAGTCAAATTCAGAGCTTTGACAAGCAGGAAGCTGGTTTCAAAACAACGTGACTAGGGTGAGTCCCTCACTCGGTTTGATTGGCTCACCGTAACTCATCAAACTCACAAAAGATAGGTTCACTGCATGTTGGATAACTGGCAGGTGTGTTGACAGGTAGCGGCTGTATGAACCTGCATGCAAGCTTGTCAGAAGTGAAGTTCTGGGTAGATGATTGGACCACTTCCTGCCACTAGTTCCTACTCACCAATTCAAACTCGATTGACAAGAAGATCTGCCAGTTTACTCTGGTGCCATACACCCCTCAAAGTGCCATGTCATTATGTCATTGATGGATCCAGTGCTGGAGTCCCTCAGTCCTACTTCAAATATTCATGTTCATTGCATCCCAGTCTTAAATACAGGCTCTCCAGTCCGTTCTTTGATCACTAAGCACCAGAATTTCAAGATTTGCATGTATCATACCAACAGAATTTCAAGATTCGCATGTATCATACCAACAGAATTTCAAGATTCGCATGTATCATGCCAAAGTTAACCATGTTGCCTCACAGAAGAAATAAAATGTTGAGGAAAGGCAAGGAAGTGAAGCTATGGCTGGTTCAAAGAAGCTAACATTTGGGCCTTCAGCAAACAGTTATGAAATTTGTTTCAGGAGCTTTAGGGAGAAACATGAAGCAGGCAGCTGCCTTTGCTAGCAAGAGTCAATACATGCCATTACCTTGATTTCAAACTTCTCATGGAGGTTGGGTATGAAAACTTTTTCCTCCTCATCCCAAGTCTGACTGTCGTCGGTCAGAATCCGGCCTTTCAGTTTCCACTTTTGGCGCCCCAGCCGTACAAACACCTAAAAAACGAAACCCAAGATTTTGGAGGAGCATGTATTTTGTCTTAATTTGTGGGATCTCAAAAGATTGATAAGAAGAGCCTTACTGGATCAGGCCAAAGGCTGAGAGTCACTTAGTCCAACCCCTGAACTAATGCAGGAATCTTTTGCCCAACCTGTGGCTCGAACCCCCAACCCTGAGATTAAGAGCCTCATGCTCTACCGACTGAGCTATCCAAGTCACATAAATGCATGTATACCTTTAAACATATAATCCAAGTTTCATCAAACCATCATGAATTAGGTAAGTACACAGGAGGCAATTCCCAGTCATGTGAAGTGCTGAACGAGAAACCAATTTAACTATTAAAATACGCAAATATGCGATGACTTATTTGCATATTATATAAGTTGGTATGCTTTCTCTTTCTTCTATCCAACCAGAGGCAACAACCTAATTCAGTATTTTGGAGGCTCAATCCATCTCCACAGCATCCTAGGTTTCTTTTTATATGGACATAGGAAGCTAATCTGTACCAGCTCAAATGAGGCGTTGTCTAGATCAGTCTTCCATGCACCATAAATAGGGGGACATGTGGCCCTCCAGATGTTGCTCTACTTCCAGCTCCCATCATCCTCCATCTGCACAGCTAATGGTCAGGGAGTCCAGCAGGACCTGGAGAGTTGCAAGAACCCATCACTCATCTTCAACAATGGACAGAATCTCTCCAGGATGTCAGACTGGAGTTGACAGCCTTACATGGGGATGCTAAGCATGGAATGTGGGGCTGTTTGCGAACAAAGCATGTGCCTTACTATGTAGGTAAGGGCTGTAGCAGAAGCTCCCCAGGTTCAATACCTGGTATCTCCAGGTAGGACTGGGAGAGATGCTTGTCTGAATCCCAGGAAGACCAGTGCCAATCAGTGTAGACAATACTGAATTCAATGGACCAATAGTCTGGCTTTCTGCCACTGAGCTGAAGCCCTTCTGCCACCTTCAAGCAACTTCTTGCAATCGGACTGCTAAATACTATACCTCATACTGGTCCCCTGGGCAGAGACGTGCATATCCCACTAACCCTGGAAAGAAACACAAGAAGGAATTTCATCCACTCAGAGAACAGAAGCCGTTAACATAAATTGTTAGAGATCTCAAAACAGTTCTGGTTACTGTCCCTTCAAGTAAATGCCACAAGGAAGATTTATGGGTGAGCAAATCTCTTGGGATGGGAGGTGGTGGCAAGGTTTGTTTTTAAATAAACCATATCCAGCAGATAATTGCTACGGATGTAAATAACTCCAGAGCACAGCACAGACCAGCAGCTTGCTTATACGGGACAACCACTTGAGAGAACAAATGAGGGTCAGAAAACAGCGCTACAGAAAGAGCTGCATATATGTTCAAATGACATTTTATTTTAAATGAAAAGCAGCCACTGCAAGCTGCAGTGAAGACAAGAAGAAAAGTCTTTGGGGAGTATGTTCTTAACCCTTCTCCTGCCATCCCTTTTCCTTTGCCAAAATCTAAAAGAACTGGCTGCTTTTCATTTTTTAAAGAAGTTACATGCATCTCTCTGTAGCATGTAGTCTTCAGCTACTCACTTTCAATTGGTCCTTTACACAAAAGAAGGATAAGGATACAAGGATGCTTTGAACACTCTAAAGCACTGGTAACCAGCTGACCATTAGCGCTTGCAAAGCCACCCATTTCAAACCACGTGAGCAAAGAAATATGCTTCACTTGACATCATGGTGCCCTCAAGTGATTGGCAGGTGGGCAGTGCAAATCATGGAAGCTGGAGGACCAAAGCATTCAGCCTACCAGCCAGAAACTGTTTCACATCTCTGCTCTAAACCACTATATATGATTATTACATGGTAGCAATTTACTACTAGAACCACCAAAAGTGGGTTGGCTTCTTGATTCTGAAGATGTCTGATGCTATTCAGTTACTGGCAGAAGACTCAATGGAAGTTTCATAAGTACCTGCCTCATCCCAAACTCCTTGGCAACATCTATAGTGAAAAACTAATGGCTGGTTTGAGAACCACACCGGTTTATTCTCAAGGGGGCAGTAGTGGAAAAGAGAAGCGATGCAACAATTCTGTTCTTGAATCCAGGATTTGTTCTTCATGCCCAGTGATGCCAAACCCCTAAGTAAAAAGTTTGGTTTACCTTTCATCTTCAGGTGAAACTCTCCCAAATGCACCTCGAGGGTACCCTCTATCAGACACATATCCTAAAAGAAAGAAAATGGAACTGAGCACAAGTTAGCATTTCAGAGTGATGGTCAAATATTTGCACTAGGCACCAATTAGCACAAGCGCAACAGGATCTCCCCCATTCTCTCCCCTCCCGTAACCCACTGTCCCCCAATCTTCTCTGGGTGGTTGGAAGAATTTTTGCACTGATGGAATGGTCTCCTGAATGCTACGTTAAATGCAACCCAAAATGACCAACATACATTGGTTTCTTTCTGCCTGTTAAGTTACTTGTTGGACTCATCGCAGCATAGACATGGATGGAAAAGGCAAGAGCTGGCAGATTTACAACCTACAAAGAAAATCTTTCCTGGAAGTAGTTAAGCAAGTTCATTACCATTTCACATACCGCAATGCAAGCCATGCAAAAAGGAATTGTAACAAATAAAATTCCTGGACATTTAAAGGAGGGGGGAATCTTCTTCAGGTAAGCTTGCAACTCCTTTATTATGGTTCCCCAGAAATGCTTCCTGTGTTTCATCTGCTTACAACAGACAGAATTTGGAAAAGGGTCCCAAATTCAGCTAAGAGGAGCTTCACACCACAGATTCAAACCTGTTTAATGGTAATTATGTCTCCCCCAGAGGACCTTGCGAGCTGCAGTTCCGCAGAGAGGGAGACTAGGGATCTCTGACACAATTCTTAGCCTGTTTACCAAAATGCAGCTCCCACGATTTTGTGGGGAAGCCATGAAAATTAGACCGGTAGAAAAGAAACATACATAAGTACACCTTTATATTGTCCTCGGCAAAATTAATACTGATCACGTTGCAAACTGGCCAGCATCAGGCTGATAAGAGTGATGTAATCACACATTTCAGAGCATCCTCATTAGGTGGCGCAGAATATAAATGTAATAATTGCTCTCCAGACAGATTTTACAAGGGTGACATTCAAGAACAGTCAATGTCAACGTTAAAATAAAACACACAAAAACCTGCGGATTACAAAGAATTGATAGATACAAAAGTAATTGTACCTCTGTGCATTCTTGAAGGTTTTTATAAAGTTCCACCAGGCTCTCTCTTGATGCTTTTGTGGACGGAGACATGGAAAAGGCATGTTTCATATTTGAAGCACCATCTCGCAACCTGCACTGGATGCTGTAAGCTTCATATAATTCATCTACCTTTTTAAAAAAGAGGGGGAAGAAAGGTAAAAAGATTGCAATTCATTCCAACAACTACAACAAATCCCATTGATTTCAATAATGCTTGACGCCTTACAGTTATCATGCTTTTGAATGCAAAAAGTCCAAGTCTCTGGTCTACCCAGATAAAGCTGTGAATGTCGCCTGCTTGAAACCTTACAGAACCACTGCCAACCAGCACAGCTTCTTATGTTCCCAGAGCTCATATATGGAAACATTGCAAGTAAAAACATTCTTATAAACATTCTTATAAAACCAATTGTTTTATAAGAATGGAGTTTTTCTTTAAAAGTTTACAATCCAAGGTACTCTCTGAATTGCAGTGTTCAGCATGCGCTCTCTTCAACAAAAACCAATGGGAGCTGAAAGTATTGTCTTTGACTTGACCATACTCAGTGAAATCAAGTAGGAAAAGTCAAGATCGGGTCTTGTTGAATACTTGAGGCTGATGGGTGTCCAATAACAATTGCGGGGGGTGCACAGGTTAGTCACCCTTGATCCACTCCAGTGCTTCCCAAACTTGGGTTTCCAGCTGTTTTTGGACTACAACTCCCATCATCCCTTGCTAGCAGGACCAGTGGTCAGGGATGATGGGAACTGTAATCCAGAAACAGCTGGAGACCCAAGTTTGGGAAACACTGGTGTACTCCATCAGTGTTACTAAGGTTTCAGGCAGAGACCCTACCCAAGGTCTTTAAAGCTGGAAATGGTACGGATTGAACCTGAGGCATGATGAATGTTTTGCAACTGAGCTGGGACACTTCTGCAATCTAACTACCCGCTTTCTTGTGGCAGAAGAAATCTGCAAAGGCCTCGGCTCATGCTATTCATTGGGAGAACACCAAAGTCCAAGGTTCAGTCCATCTTGCCAGGCACAGAGCAGCCTTCACCAAACTCCAGTGTTTTGGGCTACAACTCCCATCAACCCTAGAAAGCGCGCCAAGCTGGATAGACAGGAGCCGTATTCCAGAGACACCTGGTTGGCAAGGCAGATGTGGAGGACAGGACAATGTGGGAACCGGCCTTTGATCCCACAAAAATCCTGGGAGGTTGGTTGACTGAGGAGAGGGCAATTTGCCTAAAGAAACCTGGCCTACTGTCCACATTCAAATCCAACTCAGGCACCCACAAACAAAGCCTGTTTTCAGAGCTGCGGCAATAAGGAGGGATTAATCTGACATGTAACAGGATGCTATACCCGCTGTAAAATTTGAGTGCATATGGCAGTAATGAAAATGCTTATGCCAAAGAGGAACAACTGTACCACTGTAATGTGCAACCTTAAAGCACAGTTTGCTCTAATTTTAAGGCCAATAAAATCCATAAACCCTTAATGAAGGCATACCCCTCACTCAAGCCAACAAAAGCACCAATGGGTAATTCTGCACAAAATATTTTAAAATCCTTTATTTGGCTTTCTAAAGTAGTCAGACAAAGGGGGTCTGCTGAGCACCATTTAAACCTACCGGGTCCTGTCTCTAAGAGTTAAGGGCATTTGATTCCTCTTGATGTCAGGCACAATCCTGCTCACGACACGCAACAATTCTTTGCATGACAGATAAACTTGGCATGATGCCATGCTGCTGCTTTTGTGCCTCTTTACAAGAATATTTAGTCTTGGCACCACCGAGTGGAAGCCATCAAAGTGCTGCAAAGTGCAATGGCCAACACAGTTATTGAAAGAGACCTTTTCTTCCTCAGAGTACTTCATCAGAGTCAATGCAGTGAGTATAAGACAATGAAATGTTTACATGAAATCAGAGCAAGTCAAACCCAGATCTCAACAGAAAAGGTTTCTGCTGTTAACTGAAGAGTGGAGGAGGAAGAAG